GGAAAAACATCCCCCCCACCCTGTGAGCTGTAAAGCTCAGTAAAATTGCAGTATATTCATTGGGAGCCTATTTTTTCCCTTCCCTGCTTTCTGTGCTCAGTGGGCTGACGGGCTGAACACATACAGGGGAACCCTGTTCAATCCCCTTACGCCAGTTGTGAGGGGAAGGAGGCCACACAGTTGAATCCATTGGTCACAGAAACAGCAATGAGACCCCAGAATTTAACAGAGAGCTTGGCACAAATCAGGCACTTGATTAAAGTTCAATAGACTGAATTTACCTAGACCATACAAGTTAGGGACACAAAATATGTTTTCAGTAAAATATCACCCATAGTAGCATGGATAGCTTTGTTGCTGAAAGCACTTCTATGCCCAACTATTTGTAACATCCAAGAACTTGTTGTTTTGTGCAACATGCTTAGAAGGGAGTATGTCGACACTGTTACTTTTATCTTTGAAGGGAAGCTCAGGGGCACTCCAGACTCTTGACTGTCTAGAAAAGAAAATTCAATCGTAATACGAAAACAACTATAAAAATGCAGGATAAGCTTCTGACATTCAAATTCTAAATGTCCTATGACTGCTTAGCTCTTCTGGAATTCACTAACTCACAGTCTTGCAAATACAGAGTTTACTGAGAGCTCCAAATACTAGTGGCTCTCAAACTCAGATGTGCACAATACCTTGGAGGCTTGTTAAAAATGGAGATCCCTGAATTCCACCAGGGCAGGTTCTGAGATTCTGACTTGTATGTTTGGGTTGCCCCCCCACCTCCAGACGTTTCGCTGAAAAAATTGTTCTTGGTAGGAAGTTCAGGAATTTGCAAATAGAATTCAGCGACCTAGCGGGAAGTCCCTCTGACCCGGAGAGCCAATCATGGAGGCAGGTAAGCAGATGCTCCTTCTCCCCTCACAGTCAAGCAGCTCTTCTATAGCAAAGTCTTATTTTAATCAGGTCCTCAGGTGACGCAGCTGTACCGCGGAGTTTTAGAACCATTATGTGCAATGTGTATACACACAAAAAAACTAGTTTTCTTAGGTCTCAGGGCAGTTAAGAGAAAGAAAGAAGAATCAGTATATCACCTAGGGATCTTGCTAAAATCACGATTTTGATGCGGTAGGTTTGGGGTGGGATCTTCGATGCGGCATGTCTAACATTCCCAGTGACATCAATGCTGCTGGTCCCTGGGACACACTTTGAGTTAACAGGTTAAGGGCATAGGCTGGATGGTTTCACACCCTTGGATCCACTGTACTAGCTGTGTGATGCCGGGAGAGCTATTCAACTTCTCTGGCCAGTTTTTTTTTATCTGCGAAATCAGGGTAGGGGAGAAGAATAGCATTGGCCCCAGGGTGCTGTTCTGAGAACTATGTCACAGTGCATAACCATTTATCACAGTGCCAAGCACATAGCAAGAAGCTAACAAACAGTAGCTTTTATCATTTAAAAATTTACCAACTTTTCATTTTAAGATTTAGACTTCTAGTCTCGTGCAAAGCAGTCTGAATGACTATTCTGTTTCGCCAAATTATAGTTTAGCCTCAACTAGGTTTTCCCGTAACGGGCTCAAGCTGAGCAGGGGGCAGCACGGAGGACCGAGGACTCCTTATTCCAATTGTGGGTGCTCACTGGGCTGCTCCCTGCCCACTAGGTCTGGGAATGTAGGGGTCAGAATGGGACCAGACCATTTCTTCTCCCACAGTGTTTGCTATTTCCAGTTCATGTTTATGAAATACATATAATTTGAAGCCTTTACCAAAAGAAAGCCTTTCCCGTGTGGTTGTTTTACAGAGTCATATTTACACTCTTATTACAAGTCAGTGTTCTGGGCTCTGACTCCTGTGGGGTCCCCATGGCTTGCTCCTGGGACAACCAGAGTCACAACACTGGTCAAACCTGCTGACCATGTCATTCTGAGCTAGCAGGCCTGGCCTCCTTGCCTTTCTGCCAAAGGTTTGATTGTGAGGGGTGTGGTTAAAGCGGAATCCTCCTTCTCTGAAAGAAAACGCTCCTTGCTGTGAGTTGCCTGCTTTAAAAACTCTGAATGTTTGAGAATAATGTGCTAGGGTAACCACAGTTTGAAAGTTGGCCTGTCACCAGGAGAGCCAATGGCCAATAATACTCCAGCATTCTTCAAGGTGCCAAGAGAATGATTATGCTAAATATGTTCCTGGAATGTGAGAGTAACACATGACACAGGGTTCCAACAAGTTAGATGTCCAAACAATTAAATTTCCATATCAACATTCTCCTGTGCATGAAGTCACATTTTAAGTACCTTACTTTCTCTAGCTCAGAGCTCCTCTTTGAATACTGCATGCGTTCCAGCCTTTGATCTGGGGGAGCACGACTCTCTCCCTGGGATTAGACACCCCTGGCAGCCAGCGGGAATTCTTCAAGGCATGGATATTCTTTCATTAATGACTCAGACTTATCGTTCTTTTTAATCTATCACTCATAACTAAGATGATTTTTATTTTAAATAACCTTATAATTAGCTACATAGTTTCATAGATATGAGTTAAAAAGCCAAATTGTTGGTTCTTTCTTCTTCGTTCCTGCCCCCTGCTATTTGGCACCCACTGAGGGAATTTGCACATAGGATACAGGGACCTGCCAAAATTACTCTAATATGAACAGATAGTGAGGGTGAGCAAATGGATTCTCTCGCCGCTTTTCTCAGAAGCCAAGGCCTTATCCCTAAAACCAGGAAGCAGGTACATGTCTCCTCACATATCAGAAGCGGAACCCCTCGCCTTTGACTCCTCAGGGAAGCAACAGAAGCTCTCCTCTTGGATTTCCTGGTGAGCGTCAAGGAGTTTGCTGGTCCTGGACTCAGTACTGCTGTGCAGAAGAGCCCTGGAGTGCCCCCTCTGCACCATGCCCTGGGGCTGCTCCCAGAAGAACCACTGGGCCCCCTCAATTAAACCGAGGTAGTAGGCTTGAGAGAAGTAAGCTGTGATGGTGGTGGTGAAGAAAGATACTTTCTTGGCTTTAGGAAAACATAAGCCTCCAGGTATAAAGGAGAGACTTGAACAGGTGAGACGCTGTATCATTTTGAAGAAAGAGCACCTGTTGTGGAATCCCAATCCCAGCCACTGGTGGGAGTGGGGAGCAGAGGGACAAAGAGGAGTATGAGTGCATGTAGGGTAGGTTGACCTTGACTGCTGAAGGCAAGTTGGGCCCCTGGGGAGGGGAAAGCAAGTTCTTTCGGCCGTGTGAAAAGTCTTTGACAGGTGGGTACTCAGTGCTGAATCTGGTTAAACCAAAAGGGGATTAGAAGTAGAGGAAAATTGCTGTTTTTGATGTGGGTTATAGTCATTTCACAAACATCCCTTCACTGAATACTTAGCTCAAGGATTTCATGGCAATTAAAAAAAATTACAATGCACCCTGAAGAGCAAGATCCCATCACCTTTTTCCTTAATACAGTGATTATTATTATTTTTAAAGATAACCCCTGCTGGAAGCTCACAGCTTTGCCAGAAGAAACAATGTCCTGCCATCGTTAAAAGTATGTTACAATTTGTGGCCGTGTACCTAGCATTTGACATGGAGTGGTGTTCTATTTCAACCCAATTTAATTACATGCTCCTTTTATATATTGTAGATGGCTCACACTAGCAGAATTGTTTTTGCCTGGTGAAAAACTGGCCATGACTTGTCATAATGGGCTGGTTTATAGAACCACTGAAGTATAGTTAGTGCCCATCGTTCGGGAATTATGGCACCATAACAACCCTTTATTTACATATACTGCTGAGATAGTAAAAACAGCAAATAGATTTCTTAAATCGAGACTGCAGAAATTTTCCCCCAGGGCACTTGGCCCTCATTGTGGCAGTAACATATGCAGGTCTAAATAACTTTGGTGTCTGTATTTCAGCAGTGCATCATTCGGCGGACAGTTTATAACATTCTAATAATAAAATGGACTCTAAATTTGGAGTTGGGCTTCACGAACATTAGATGGTAATGTGCACGGCAGAATCTCTAAGTGATTTGTGAGGAAGGTTTAAATTTGCTAATCACACTGCCACTGAGAGACTCCGAAAGGAGCTGCAGCAGAATCAGTGGTTGAGAGGCAGGGAGGTGGCAAAGGTGTCAACCAGGAGGGTGCCTGACCTACTGTATGTTAACACAACTGCATCTGAGTAAAGCCAGGGATTCTTTTATCTACAGACTCATAGGGCTTCAAAAATCTTGGCATTTTCCTCAAACAATAGAAACCCTCTTTGAGTTCTCCCACCCCTTTCTGTGGGGGAGGGGCACTCTGTTTTTTTCATTCTTTCATCTTCATGGTGTATCTTTGGGGAGAAAATGATTAAGGTAAAGCATTAAACCCTCATTGACTGTTTACTCCTCTGGAGATTTCATGTAAATTGCTGTCTTCTTATTCTTGACTTTCCACTCCTTTGTAGGGTTGTCACTAGACTTATCATTAATACACACATTTTAGAAGTATCTCCACTATATTTCTCTTCCTGAGGCAGTGGCTTCACTGCTCACCCCACCCCTTTAGCTTCCGGTAAATTTATATGTCTACGTAGGAAAGGATTATGTCATATGGTCTTCATAACTCAGGCTGCTATCAATCATTCTGCAGCCACATGCAGGTGACTCAAGAGGGCAAAAACTTAAAACGGGATCCGATTCCTGCAAGCTGCCAAAGCTTGGAAATGTGTGGGGTAGGCACAGGAGGGGGCAGCTGTGATAACATCTCTAGACTCCTGTAGTCACAGAGTCTATGGGTTGTCACAAATGGATGGGCTAAACTGGACACTCCTGTAATTAATTGCCAAGCTCTCAATCCCCACCCCCCCCCCCCCCCCCCCCGCCCCAGCCCAAAGAGATTAAGAAGCTTTGCCAGCATCTTGGCTGAATACTGATCTCTGGGAGAGCACTTCGGTTGGTTATGCAGGTGAGAGAGAGGTCTATTGCCCCCACCCCTCTCCTCCCCCTCCCCCTCCAGGGTGCCCAGGGCACAGAGCACTCACCCCCCGAGGGCAGGCCCGAGCAGCTGCCCCCGTGTTGGCAGGGGCTGCGCTCACACGCGTCGGGGTACAGCACGCAGCCCAGCTTCAGCTCGGTCAGGCCCACCACCTCGGCAAAGCTGCTGCGCTTGTTCTGCAGGGGCAGCTCGTTGCTGTTCAGCACCACCGAGTCCAGGCAGCCCTGGAAGCCGCTCAGCACTTGCGTGACCCGCGTGTCAGTCAGGCTGCGGATGTTATCCGCCTGCACCAGGGCCCCGAAGTAGATGGTACTCTCGGTGCTCAGTGTCTGGAAATAGAGGGGCGCCCTGCGCCGCTCCACGTAGCTGTCGTCCAGGGACAGGCTGGTGAAATTGCGGTTGAGCTCCAGGAAGACCGAGTGCCAGCTTCCGTCGTTGACTGCACGGCCGGAGATGCCCAAGAGTCCGGGGCCACTGCCGCAGTCCAGCTGGAACCAGAGCTTGCCATCGACGATCTGCGTGGGGAAAGACACCAAAGTGCTTTTTTAATATGCTTCTGGCAATACGTTCTTGTACACCCTGTTCCCTCCCAAATGGGGAAGGGGAAGGAAAGGGGAAAGGACAGGACTTCCAGGTCACTAAGAGCTAAGGAGATATAAATAGCATGTAAATTCACAGAAACTGCACTGAACCAGTCTTTCCAAAATGTTTGACTCGTGGTAGGCCCCTTAGGGACTATCACAGCCACACTCATTCTGACAAATAGGCTATATCTCTGTCTGTGTTTCAGTATGTCCCACAGGCAGCTCATTCTTAGGGACTCACTTCTGTCTCTGTGGCTCCATGGATTCCCTGGTGCCTTCTCTTTCTGCAGAAAGTTAATAGGCTCATGACACATAAATGAATACTATGCAAGAGGCAGACAGCCGTGTGAACCAGGCAGAGCTCTGGGAATTTAGGAATAAAGACTTGGATCAGGGCTTTGTCCTGTATCACCAAGGTCACCTGGAGAGAGTCACCTGGTTGGCCTGTCTGGGTTTGGGATCCCTTATCTGTAGAGCAGAGATAACCGCTGTGGCTTCTTTTATAAGGAGACTATGTCTGCTGTAGAGTGGTTGGCCACATCGTGCACAATTAGTGCTCTGTAATGCAATTGTATGGATGTGAAGACTGGAGACAAGTATTTATTTGCTTTTCAGAGAGCTTTCATGACTAATCTATGCTGTTGCCTTTGTCGCTTTTTTGGTTCAACAAAACGGACCAAATAGATATTGTAAATCATACCAGAATACTTGCTCAGTGACAACTCCTGGATAAATACCCATATTTTTATTTCAATGTGAGTAATAAAATGATCAAATGTGACTTTGGGGACTACCTTCTTCTGCATAGTCCATCTGCTGTTATGCTCTGTGGGTCCAAAATAGTGTCTCCAGTCTATCAAGGAAAATCTGGTGGTGAGGGTGCATTTCATGTAAGGTTTTATAAAAGGAAGTATTCAATTAATATATTCCTTGGTCCATTCTCCCCCTAACCCTACACTTCATCTCTTGGGATAATGACCAAGTTACAGATTTACCCAGGAGAGCTGATGTGGCCCTGAGGTACTCACATACATTGAAGCTCTGTAACTGAGAACCATAAAATTATCCCATACTAACACTGAGCACTGTTAAGTTTAACTTTCTTTTCCTGTTGAAAAAATAGCAGCAGCAACGCTACTGAATGTGTAGGAAGCCAGAGGCCTACATGATCCTCAGCTTTGTGAAAATAAAAGTCATTTGTATCTTCAAAATTCTAAGCCTTGTTTAGATGACAAACTAGAATGCTGATGCCAAAAGCTGCCTTGCAAAAAGTTACTTTGTGATTCCACAAGTTTATTATGCCACGGAGAGAAAAGAGCACTTTCATATGCTCTCACACTAGAAAATTATACTCTGATCATATTTCATTTTTCTCTGTCTTCAGAATAGGGTTTACCCAATTTTGAAGCATCTCTCTTTTAAGAGATCAAGACTTTTTCAAATCAGGGGGTAAGCTCTTTTAGCTGAAATTGGGGTGTACCTGAAACTGTAAGGAAAGTATATAGCAAATGATCTGAAATGATGTACCAGGCGAAGGGAAGGAGGCAATTTCTCCAATGAAATGCATAATTCAGAGAGTGTGGCCCTAATGTTACCAAATATTTAGGTCCTCGGGGTTGTTTCCAATCAATGATGTCCTTTCACTCAGATCTTCAGTGGCTTGGGGCTTGGGAGATAACACATCAGAACTGTAAGAAATCTTCTGGTAGGCTTTTGAGTAAAAACGTTTAAATTATGCCACAGAGTCTTACTGCTTCAGATCCGTGGTGTATGGCTGCAGGAAATGCACCATTATCATATGACTTGTAAGAGGGTTTACCATATATTCTTTGAAAAGGAGACTTTTAACAAACCTATTTTCCTGGCTGCCATTAATCACTATCTCACACACAGCAAGAGCTCAAAAAATACGTTTTGAATGCATGAATGAATAAATGATGATTCCAGCCCTCCAAATGTCTTCTTTTTATGAACACTTTCGTGGCTCCCAGCCTGTTTGCCTCTGTCTGAGGCCCAAATCGACTACTGAGCAGCCATCACTTCAGGCTGGTCACTGGGTCTCCCTGAGCCTCAGTTTCCTCACAGGCAAGACAAGGAGTCACCATATCTATGCACAGGGGAATGCAAATAAAAATATATGTATATTAAAATACTTTATTAACTTTTGGGTCTGTTACTATAACATGTTAACTTACTTCTCAGTGATATTCTTCTACAGACCCTTGGGACTCTGGAATCTTGTGGGAAGCTTCCCTGTTACACTTCTGACCTATGTCGGAAAGATCTGGATGCTCCAAGTGGCCGAATGAGCTTTCCCTGACCATCTCCCTTTGAGCCCTGAGACGATAACTAGCCATGTTTGACAGTCATCAAAACGAAGCACTATATCATCTGTAACTTTTCTCAAATATAAAATATGTGATATTTCCTTTGCCATAGTACTGGACTTAAAAGACTGGCACAGGGCAAAAGTTACTTGTATCTGGCAAATCTCTCCTGGTCGTCTGACATAGTTGCATTCTAGGTTTGAGGAGAGCCACAGAACCAGTCCCACCATTTTCATTCTTGCTCTGGCTGTCAGGAAACTCAGACTTACAGTTTGCGTTCAACTGAAATAGCGACCCTGGGTCTAGACTTCTAATGATGATATTCTGCCCTTCCCCACTTCATTGGTTGGCTCTTACTAGTCTGTCTTTATTTTAATGGTGCTTTGATTTTATTGCATTTGCATAATCATGGTAAGCCTCGAATATCTTTTGGAAGTAAACAGGGTATCAATGGTGAACAGATGAATGAGCACCTTTCCTGCTGCTTAGAGATAGCAGTGCTCCCTGTCCATAAGCATTTTCATTTCTTGAGTTCCCCATGCAATTCTTTAGCTGTCTTCAAGGGGTGCCCTCCACCCCACTGATTGTCTTAGGTACTTTTTAGAGAAGGCCTTCTAACTGGGAAAATATAAATAACCAAGAGTGCAATTTAAACAATGCATTTCAGCATAGTCACAGAACCAAAGTATAAACCACATACTGTACCTAAAGCCAATGAAATTAAATCTTGCATGAGGCTGAAAATCTTAAGCAAACAGATTCAAATCCCCTACGTGGCTATTCCTGGCGACTGTAGGAGAATATCTGCAATAGTTCAGTACAGCTGTGTCCTGCTTTGGGCAAACCGAACATATGAAAAGCAAACTCAGAGAACAGACAGATTGGGGGAGATTATTCACACCACAAAGGGACTAATGGAAAAGGCCCTTCAAACAGCAACAATACCTAGTTTATTAACATTCCATTTATAGAGAATCAGTTTACACAACTTTCAGAAACACGCTTGTTTCATGAAATAAAATCTACTCAGGAGCTAGGGCTGCCTAAAAGATTTAATTCTTCTTCTTTTCTGTCCTCAGGGATCTACACATTTTAGACATTTGCCAGTAAGGTGTCAAGTGACAAGCTCTATTTTAGGGTCAAGCCATTCAGGTCCAATATTTTTTTCTTCTCAGATTTACCACAGTATAAGAGATTTGCTAATAGACAGTATTTGTCTCAGAAAGATGCTCTGTGACCACCAGCCCTTTTAAAGGAGGAAAGAGCAAGGTCATCAACGCCCAGGCAGAACCCCTAGGAGCAGGTAGCTCTGAAAGGGCAGAGCATCTTCCAAGCAATTCTGCCAACCACTGCCACTCTGGGCTGTTTAGAAAGTCATCCACTGACTGAAGGCAGGGTGCCTTGGGGCCAGGAGAGAATAAAGACAGGACTTAGGTCTTTGATTTTGTTTTCTTTACACCATGAATATTTGATTTGAATTAATTGTTCTCTAAAATTGCACCTCCAGAGTGAGTGTTTTGAAAACACTGCTTTAGATCTCCGCTCAGGGCACAGAAAAAAATCAACCAATGAGATCTACTTGATTATTTCTGTGCTGGTGTCATGTTGTTTTAATTGCTGAGACTTTATAATGGTTTTAAAATTTTTAATATTTTATAATTAACTTTAACATTTAAAAAAATTAATAAAATCAATCTGCATTTAAAAAAGAAAGAAGGAAGGAAGGAAGAAGAAAGAAAGAAAGAAAGAAAGAAAGAAAGAAAGAAAGAAAGAAAGAAAGGAAGAAAGAAAAGAGAGAGATGGAACTCCTACCTTTTGCGACAACAGGAATGGAACTGGAGAATATTATGCTAAGTGAAATAAGCCAGTCGGTGAAAGACAAATACCATATGATCTCACCTTTAAGTGGAATCTATTCAACAAAATAAACTAACGAACAAAATTAACCACAGGCATGGAAACATGGAGCAGACTGAAAGTGACCAGAGGGGAAAGAGGACAATGATGGGAAGAAGGGGAAGGGACTAGACAAAGAACATGTATGAATGACTCATGGACATGGGACAACAGAGTGGGAACTGACTGTGGGAGAGGGGGATGGGGGTGGGATGGGTGGAGGGGGATAAAGGGGAAAAATTGAGACAACTGTAATAGAATAAACATCATTTAAAAATTAAAAAAGAATCAACCAATGAATGCATAAATGGAACAACAAATTGATGTTTCTCTCTCTCTCCTGCCTTTCCTCTCTCTTTAAAATCAATACATAAAAAATTTTAAAACACTACATTCCTTTTCAGAGCTGAAATCCTCTGAGTTGAATAAGGATAGTGGGAGATTTCTCACAAAAGTAGCCAACTTTTAAACCCCAATTCCCTTATCACTCCCTCTTGGCCACCAAGTAATACCTGGCAATACCAGAGTGGGTAAGCAAAAGTCTAAGCCATAGGGGAAGCCACTGGCATTCAATTCTCTCCCTCTAGGATTGAAGTCTGGGCACCTAGCTGATTTGGATATGACCTATCCAACAATCAAAGGACAGAAGCTAGGAAGGCACACCGTGATTCCAGTTGAACCTAGTGCTAGAATCCTAGGAAGGAAACATTGTCAGACATTTACACTTGGATGGACATTTCCTGCTGGACAGATTCTGTGTATTCTGCACGTTCTTACAATGGGCTGGTATGGCACCCTGGCAAGAACAGCATTGGATTAAGCACGTCTCCCTCCTTCTTATTTCTTCTCCTCACAATATTGGAGGGCTTGATCTGAGCTACAGACACCTAGACTGTGATTTTTGATACAACAACTTGTGATGGCAACACCAAGAGCTGGGAGAGCATGGGGATTAAGAGCCTGGAGTGAGAGAGGCCGGAGTGCGGGCCCCAGCCTTGCCACTTACTAGCACATGCACACCTTAGGTAAATTACTTAACCTCTCTGAGCCCTATCTGCTCCATCAAATGGGGATGATCACATATAACAAATCTATTGTATTAATTCTATAATCAAAATCAAATGATGCATGTAAAGTTTTTAGTATGATTTCTGTTGCTGTTTCATGAAGGTACCAAAAGCTCTGAGCTGAATACAAATGCCAGACATGCTCTAAAGGAAATCTGGTGGCCTTCGCAAGGTTTCTGAGGCTGGGATTTGTTTTAAAAATGGAGCTACTTGTGTCATGATGGGACATATGGGATCATCTATGCCCCAGATTTCCAACTTCAACCTGAGCAAGAACAGAAGTTGCTTTCAGAGGTCAGTGGAAATAGAAGCGTATACAGCCATTCTTTTTAAAGGACTACCCTTGCCATGGAATTGATTAGGAGATACATCCTAATGAACTGTTGAGTGATTATAGCTCAAAGGAGGCTGGCCCTTGAACCCACTCTAGAGAGAGATGCCCCAATCTGCCAACAGCCAGTTTTGAAACTGAATGTACAAAAGGAAACAGGGTATTGGCACAGTTCCCAGTCATGCTGCTGTTCCCTTTGCCCTAAAGTCTGCTTCTGGTCTTCTGACTTTAAAAGACAAAACAATTTCAGCAGTCCCCAACCCAAGAGCCAAAATACTAACATGAGAACTGACTGCAGGACAAGATAATCCACTTTAATTACCTTCAGAATTATGCACGGATTCGCTCTGGTGTACATTATAATTCCGTTGCTTTGCAGTGTTCGCAGACGCAGAGCTAGCTTAAAGTCCTCTTCTTTGCTGTTTTCAGAAAGCCGGTATTTAATGTAACTGTTTCCAGCAAAGCTGAGAGAAGTGTGCCCTGAAAAGACAGACCATGACGAGAAGACACATATGCTTTTAACTTCCAGAAATGAGCAGGGACACATGAAATCGCCCAACAACTACCAAGCAAGTTAATTAAAGACCATGAGAAGTTAATGAAGGCACTGAGGAGAAACAATTTTTGATTAAAAAATGATTCTCCATTTCAGGTTACACTCTAATTTCAAAGTGAAAAAATCTATTAACTAGTCAGATGCTAAAAAGATCTTCGTTGTTTAATGACAAGAGGAACTTGGTAAATTCTAAAACCTGAATTTTCTTAGTGTCACTAAAGTCCCAATTCCCACTTTCTAACATTAGTTCCATTAGAAGATAACCCATCACACCCACCCCCATCACTTAGGCACTTAAGCGAACTTTCAATTCCATGGAAAAAAGGAAAGACACAGCCATTTTCAAAGAATATCCATATTCCCCACATATCCTAAGGCCAAGTAGCCAAGTCATGACATTTGCAGTGATGCTAACAGAGGTAACTGATATAAAGGAATTCTATGTCTTGTGCAGTCACAACTCTCTTTTCTGACTCTTAATTTCAAGGCTTCTCTTCCCAGAATTTTTAGCTTTACTCACATCGCCCTCTCTTTTCACTGTCTCCAACTTTATGTTTTAACAACCAAAGTAATGGTTGAAAAGCTGTCTTGCTGGGGTGAAAGGTGGAAAGTTTGGAAATATACCAAATGGACGATAATTGTGGAGAATCAAAAGTTTTCTGTGTAGAAAGGACAAGGGAAATGGGCAGAAAGTGACATCTGAAGTTAGGAGGCTTGGCTTTATTGTCACCCAACATACACACCTGCTGTGTGCACAGTGTGTGTGTTGGGGTGGGAACAGCATAAATATCTTTTAAGTATAAGCCTTAGATGACTTCAAAAGCAAATATGCTGGTGACCCCTTCACTTAACGGGCAGCTCTGTTCTTGAAATCATCTATGAAAGAGCTTTGGCCCTATTTTTAAGATCAGTGCTTCTCTTTGCAAAGGCTGAATTTCTAGAACCCAATGCTCAGCAAGGTGCCTTGCGCACACTAGGCATGATCATTTTTTATTTCCACTACTGTTACTATTATAATCATTACTCAAATAGTTTTTGGATTCCAGAGTTGGTATCAGTGTACCTATATTTTACATATATCCTCTACCAAAAAGAGGGTTCTATTGGTACCAGAAATGAAAAATACTCTAAGAAAAAAAGTGGTAGAGAATATATAAATCAAATGAAGTACTGAAACTGAGTGAAGATCAGAAATAGAGGAGGATCATTTGGATTGAGATAACATAAGCACTACTTTTCTTTCTTTCTTTAAAGACACAGAGGTGAGCACTTGGAGTTTGGGGAAGATGCAGTTAGTTAGACATCTCCAGTGGAGAATCTGCTTACTTGGTGCTCTAGGCTGGGCTTACCCTGTGGAAGACCAACTGGACTGGCTCAGTTCTACCTTCTGTTGGTCTCTGTTTGAGGCTATGGGCCTGTGCAGCCCTTTGAACATCAAAGGTCATGCCACATATATTCCAACTCCTTTGCCTAACCAACAGCCTTCTATGTGCCATAATTTCACATCCTCATCCACACAACATGATTGAAAACACATGTTGTGGTCTCCCCATTATATCAGGAGTCTACAGTCACCGCATGTGTCCTTAGCACAGGCTGCAGTTGCAATAAATGCCAAGTACTTCAGAGAGCGGACGTCAGCTATGGTCCATTATGAAGGTCAATGTTGCCTGCAGACAGATAGGTCTTCTGGAAAGGCTAGGGCAGTGTAATTTACTCAAGGGCAAGTGTTTCAGGAATGTGAATTTAGACCCTCATCATTCCAACCCACTCTTCACCTGAGCACTCTCCAAGCTTCCCTGGTGGACACTGGCAGAGGAACGGTCTCCTGCTGGCTTCGTAACCAACACACTGCATGTCCCCCGGACACGGCTTCTCCATGCAAGGATCGTTGGACCCCGGGCACAGTCCCCCTGTGACAAAGGGAGAACATATATGATCAATACAAAAGGAATCACTCTACACCCCAGGGAGCACAGAAATGGTTCAAGAGCTGGACTCTACAGGTTCTGAGCTGAGAGACAAGGTGAAGAGGCTGCCTAGAAGCAGGAGCACCTGAATGGGCTTCACCTAGCGTAGGTGCCCATCAAACATTTTTGCATCTGCTGGAAGCTCATTGCCAGACTCAACTAGGTTGGGTGCAAAGAGTAAATGGGGCTCCTCCTTTGAGGCTAAAATGTGCTAAGGTTGTGAGTGATTCAGCTTCAGCTGAAAAAAATTCACACCACACAAGTCCTGGTAGTAGTTCTTGGAGTGGGATTCCTGCATACTGGCGGCCATTTAAATGCATCACTTGAGTTTAGATTTTTTTCCTACATCCACGTCCTGCTCAGGGGAAAACAGGGAGTAGACATCAGAAGATGTCAGCTGTTGTTCTCAGAAGAGGTGGGGGAAGACTTTTCTAAAGTATCATAAAACTAATTCTAAATTGTGAAAGTACAACTCATATTGTTTCCTAATCCCTTCTGCTACATGCTATTGTATCAATTAGCTGTAAACGTGCCCTACCAGCTATCAAAAATAGTAGAATTATCCTTGGCAAAGGAAGGCTTCCTTTCTACTTGTTCGATGTCCACAGCATAGTGAGATGAAAGGTTAATCCGAAATCCTGGAAAGCAGATTAACTGATGAAGGCAGAATGCAGGCCCCAAGTGAGTCATTTCAGAGCTGTGGCGACGGCAAATGTGGGTCCACTGAAGGACATGCTCTTTTCACAGGCTTTGGGTAATTCAAACGTAATTAAGCCACTTTCAAGCTGGTGAGAGTTAAAGTGGTAAAAGGTCTACAGAAAAGGAGACACATTGAAAATAACCCACAACTAGGTTAGCAGTGGCCGTAAGGCACGGCCCTCCTTTGGGAACCCAGAACCAGGCTGAACTTCAGCAGCTTCTTTCCTCAGCAAGATCTGGGCTGTTTTCATACTGCTTTCCATCCAAGCTCTTTCCTCATCATTAAGCATATTGTCCCATTGTATGTACAGTCATTTCTTTGTCCAGGAGGAAGCAAAAACTTAAAGCTAACTACACATAAACATTTTAAAAACTGTAATCCTTGAGAAGAGCAATATAAGTAGCAGCAGCGAACTCAGAATCCATAAATCTCATTTTCCACTGGTTTAGAGCTCAGCCAAAAATGATACTCTTGGCAATAGTCCAGCTTACAAAGTCTTAGAAGATGAAGGGATTTTTAACTGAAAATTTAGAACCTTCTCTGCAAATGGTACTAAAAATGCGCAATTGTCCTGAAATCCATCTTCCCATTTTTGTTCCAAGAAATCTTTATTCCTGCCACATATTTATCAATATTTATGGAACTTTAAAAAAAGCTGTTCAACCACCTTTTATCATCTGTTTCATAAGGCTTTTTTGATAACCAGTTTTAAAATAACTTTTGGTGCATTCATTCAACAAATAATTTTTCAGGGCCAATGAGGCAACAGGCCTGGACAGTGAAGATGGAAGGAAATGATCCTGCCTCTTCCTCCCTGCAGGCAACAACACGCAAAAACATGATCACAACATGATAAGAAGACTGCTTTTACAGAGATATGCGAGTGAATGGAAGCACCAGAGAAAGAAAAATGGTGTTTCCTGGGAGGATGTCATAAGCCTTGTGTAGGAAGGGAGTATTTTAAACTCGGGCTTGAAGGATGAGATCCTTTGAGTAACGAGAAACTGTGTTTTGCGGGAAAGAACCAAGCACACTGGTTCAACTGTATTCATGCGTTTTGTATTTATTCATGGTGAGTTCACAACTCTACCAGCTGGCTCTTTGCTGTCTCCATGAGTGGCTTCCTTTCAGTTTCTGATGGCCTGCACACTTCCAGGTTGCTCCTAAATGTTGACTCATTAGTATATGCTCAAAAAGTGCAAAAGGAATCCAGTGCTAAGTTCTGTCTCATGGAGGGGGCAATAAGCATGAATAAATAAAAAATGCATCACATTTAACTTGGGATTACCTGGACATTTTTTTCCAACTGGACACAGAAACAGTAATTTATGTATTTCAGAAATCAGTGGTTGGGTAAGTCCCATCCCCTGGACAGGCCTCTTTCCACGTCCTAGACAGCCCAATGACATCCCTTCCATAAACTTCTACATTTCTGAGATACAGCTGTATCTAATTCATTCATAATCTTTTCTGCTCTAACACGATGGCCACAGTGTTAAGAAACTTTGCATTATCAAAAAATGCAGTTTAAAAGCCACCATTTCAAAGGAAAAAGAGGGCTAGATAATTTTAGATCCATGATAGCAAAGCTATTTTTTTCCTATAGGAATTGTGGTCACTGTTTAAAAAATACTTATAAGTGCATATAACAAAAACTAAACACTGTATTTCAAAATAAATGTAGATTCGGGTACTTCTCCCTTTTATTCACAAGTTTTGACCTTTTCTTTTACCATCAGTCCTGCCCTGGTAAGGAGCACAGGGTTTTTCACTTTATCACCCACATGGCTTACATTGGGGTAAAGCACCAGGCCACTGAGACTTACAACCGAAGTTCAAACTCAGCTCTTTTTCTTCTTTTTTCTTTGTGGCATAACCATAGAACCCATATAATTAAATACAGTAAATTAATGAATTACGTTAGAGCCAATTCCTATTGTGGACATTCTAGCTGGAGAATATATAAAAACATATTAATATAAATATTTTGACACGTGCATTCTAAAATTAATAATGTTAGATATATAATAATGTTTATTTCTATTTATTCTAGCAATTGACTCTGATAAGTTATTTTTCTTTCTTTCTTTAAAAAAAAGGGTTTTTTTGTTTTGTTTTTTTTTTTGTTTTTTTAAGGTAAAGGGGGTCAGTTCTTGGCAAGGGATCTATCTCCAGATGCTTTCAAAATCCTCAGGACCTGTCCCCAGTCTCAGCTGAGATGGGAGGAGCCATAAGCATTTGGTCTCCAGCTGCAGCTGTCAGTTTGCTCTGCTCACAGCCCACGCTCTCGTAGTTTAAGGAAGTATGAAGGCAGGTTAGAGTCTGGAAGTCCGTGTAAATGTAAAGGACTTTCTAGATGGGGCAGGTGTGAGCATGTGCCTAAAATGCAATCTATTCTCAGTAGAGAAAGACTTCTAGTTACTGACAAACAGGTTTCCCAAAACTAAATAGTTTATTTATGCAGTGTTGTAATTCTCCCCTCCCCACGGACTGTGGTAAGAAATGAGGGTCTTCCTGAAATATACATTGCCAGAAGGACTTGATCGTTGAATGTCAACTCTGAACAATGTCATGTGTCCCTCAACCTCAGATGTACCCAGGTCTGGGTCCTGGAGACAGATGCCTAGAGATACTGACTATCTTTCTGGGCAAAGGCTCAAATTCTCTGGCAACATAAAATCCAGTGTACTTTTAATGGTTGCTGAGGGGTTAACCTTGTTTTTGGAAATCGTGTTTCTGTCATCCCCTTGGCAGGCAAGTGTGTACACCTACCACTGCAGAGAGCCTTACAGGCCCTCTTTTTGGGGGCAGAAAGGGCCTCATCAGCTTTCAAGTAACAGTGAGGAGACAAGAGTGTCAGCTCCTGTTGGCTTCTGAGAGGAAGTCAGCTTATTAACTATCATTAAATAACCCAGGTTTAATTAGCTTGTGCTGTGATCAGTGACAGCTTAGGGGGGTGGGAGCTCTAGACCTACACGCTCTGCATCTCCAGGCACCCATCAATTTTGTTCCAGGATGAGCATGAAGGGAGAAAGGTCCTACTTTATCAAACCAACTGACGCCATTTGTTGCAGGTCAGGGCAGACAGAAGGAGCAGACATTTTTAGCAACTGTCAGAACATAAAGCAGGCAGAGAAAGCTCCGTCCTCCATTCCCAGGTCCCCTCTGGAAGGCGGGGTAGTGTAATAGAAAATGGTGCTGCGCTGACAAGCAGCAGACCTGGATTTTGGCCCTGACTACATACTCAGCTTATTTACTGTATGGCTCTGAAAAAGTCTCTGGGTCTCAATTACTTTTTCTGAAAAGCGAGGATAATGATTCTTCATAGAGTTGTAAGCATTAAGTAGGCCAATGTATGTGAAAGCAACTTGCAAAGAAAAAAAAATTACGGTAGAAACAAATTGTTTCAAGGTCCCCAAACTGGGGACACTAGCCTGAATCAAGAACACGGCAAAGACCTGGACTCTGGTGTAATCTTTTTCTTGCTGTCCTTTTTGGGTCCAATTCATGATTTGTAAATTGACAGACATTACAAAATACCGGGTGCATGAGAGGTACAAAATAAAACCTGGAGATTTTTACTAACCAGTGTCACAGGCTACGTGCAGCCATGGCACCCCCTTTACCACCTTGCAGCTCTTCTTCTCCTGCAATCTCTCCGTGAGGAGAAACGTCTACACAATGTAGCCATTCTCCAAAAGGTTTTTCATCCTCTGAAGTTTGGCTTAGACAGAAATTTAGGTCACTCTCTACCGAGTTAACAGCATACAATTCATTTCAGCAGAAGCTTCAGAGCTTTGGAAAAGGCAGGGAGGAGGAAAGTAATCCTCTCGAGGTTTTAGGAGGTTCTCGCTATCATACATAATGACTCTCTTCTCTTCCTCTCCCCAGCATTCCTACAGCCCTTAGGATTAACTCAATGCATTTAGCTAACAAATCAATATCTAGCTGTGATTATTACAGCTACCACTTTGAGCTGATTCAACCTCTTGATTTATGTCTCTGCCTAATTATACTGAGAATGCAATAACTAAATGGTAAACACCTTGAATTCACATGCTTTGCCAAGGTGTTCTGTCTTGGCAAATGCCACAGAAGTCAGTAATCTTCCCTCTCAATTCCTGGCCTGCATGAAATTTTAAAACACCTTCTCCTAAGGTCTCTTGGCTTTGAAAATGGCCTCTTGTGGTTCCCCCAGAAACACAGAATCATCTGTGATGGTGTCTTTTTGGCTCAGTTCCAT